CCTTCTTGGGTTTCCGGACGAAAGAGCCCAGAGTGCTCTTTCCCACTTAGAAGGTAGACTCTCCCCTCTAACAGATCCAGGTTTATTCTTCAGCGAGATGGCTCAGCTCTGGGAGCCCTTGGTGTGACGCTAACACTATGTAGATACTGGTTTTTCTCGCAGGATAGTGGCTGCTGTAACCCCCAAACTATTCAGGCTCTCCCATCTTCCTAAGGATGATTTCACCAGGGTCATTCCGCCCTTTGATGGACATTCAGCTCAATCCAGGACTCGTTCGAAGATAGCGCTACTATCAAAGTCTCCCAGAATGCTTCGTGGCTGACAGCGCTCCACAGTTCCTCATCTCTGGGTTGGCCATCAAACACAGCATCAACCAGAGGTTGGTCAAATGAGGCGGTGGGAAGACTCTGACCGTGTCACTGTCATGTTCTCCTCCATCACAGCTTAGAATTTCTTATTGTGAACAGTGTCTACAGTTACTCAAATGGAATAGGCTTCCTTCCTCATTTTGTTTGCTGGTGCCTGTAGAAGTTGACCTTTCACCTCCTGGCATTGATGGTTGTTACCATGTTGGGACCACAGATGTTACCCTCGACGCACGCAGACATAGTGGGCTGCGATGCTGAAATATTAGATTCTTGCTTTCTCATTCTAGAAGTTTCCCCCCAGTGAGGCCTCCAGTGAGCTGATGGAAGGCACAGCATGTCAGTCAGGTCATGATAGCCTTTGACTTCCAAGTACAATGGAACAGGGGTTCTCCTACGGTGACGCTGGGGCACTCCTCGCCTTGTTAGAGCAGGTGAAGTCACACCACGAAATGAGCGAGGGTTTCGATGTCAGTAAAGCATTCCACATCCAGAAGCAGAATATCCTGTTGATTACCTTTCAGTGGATTCCACCGTGACCCCAGAGAAGAGGGGATGATTTAATGGTGGTTAATATTTCTAGGAAACCGGCAATCGGATCCATTCTCCTTTGGTTGGCACTTCTGCAGAGAAAGCGTAAGTGATGGTTCCGCACGAAGCATTATCTCTTCTTGTACAACATGGAAAGCTTACATGCTGCTTGTCAGATGTGAATTTTAAAAAGTAAGAATGATTGGCACTTGGTAACTTACACAGAATTATAAAGTGGTACAAGAAAATTGCCTATCTCTTCTAGATTTACATTTTATATGTTTTTTTTTCTTTTAAGGGATGATAAGACATGTCATTTCCATCAACTTCAACCAGTTATGTCTGAAAGAGGCTACAAGTTCAGCTCCAGAGAGAAAAAGCAAGTTGCGGAGAAAACCGACGCATCACAAAAAAGCACACAGCCTTCCCGCTGCCTTCCGTCCTGGGCCCAGAGCTGCGTATTTGCAGGCAAGACAAGTCCTGAGACTACGATGCCACGTGTCTTGAACACAGCTTTGCTTGCCCTTGGTTCTGACCCACCAACCCCAGGTCTCACCTATGAAATGTCTTTCCAGATCCATTAAACGCAAGGAGAAAAAGGAAGCGGATAGGGAGGTATAGCTACAGTTTACAGATATGCATTGATGTCAAGCAGTTATTGTCTATTAGTTCCTTTATTTGATTAGCAAATACTTATTGACATATAATAGCCAAGCACCCAGCTCTATGCAAACGACAAGCGAACATTTCCTCATGGATCCTCATTATGGTTTGAAGAAGTGTAACGGTAAAGATAACTGGGGCCCTTGACTCCCAACACAAATCCTATTTAGGAATCTTGAATTCTCGGTAGGAACATCCTGGCATATCAATGTGTAGTCTGCATGTCTTTTATTGAACATCAACAACTGACCTCATGCTTTAACAGATGTAAAAATGTATTGACAAGATCATTTACCTATTTTTTCCCCAGCGTTTTCACTGACTTATTTTCTGGCTTAGCAGATCTTCCAGTCACCCCGTTGCAGTTAAACAGGTCTCTCTCCTTGGGACCGCTGCATGGGAACATAAACAACTATTCCTTTGAAAAGTGGGCAGAGTGATGCGTGGCCTCTGAGCACAGTTGCTGGGCTAGGAAAAGAAGTTTTTGGTCCTGACACCCACTGGATTGGGAACCAGGCTCTTCCCAGAGGCGATGTATCTGATTGCGTTCCCTGAGCCAGCAGTGAGGTTCATTTATTCAGCATTTATCAGAGAGGGGGAGTGAGAGAGGCAGGGCATATGCCCTGGGAGGGCAAGAACTGATTTATTTCCTTCATTGCTGGTATCCACAGCACCTAGCTCATAGAGAATTAATTAAAAATGATGGAACGAATGAATGTTGTTGACTTACAGATAAGAAAACAAAGGATCCAAGAACCCAAGTACCTTCTGAAGGTCACTTGGTTGGTAAGAAGTGGAAGTAGAGTTCCAAGTCCAGGTAGAGCCCAAGGCCTGTGCCCTTTCTATGATGACTAACTCGATGGACAGGCAACTTTCCAGGCTCCCTGCCTCCTTCCCCGGTCACCGGTCACACCCTCTCCTCTGCGAGCAGAAGAGAAGTGGTAAGCGGCATCTGGGTAGACATCCATGGATGCCATCGAAGCCCCATTGGAGGCAGCCCCAGAAGAATCTCACCTTGACTTCTTTTCAATCTGGATCCCCCACCTTCAAGGCACTGAAATATATCAGACTAGACAACCTGCAGGCCTGTAAAAAGAGCCACGCCAACGTGGAGACAATGGTCCTTACAAACGTCCGGCTATGTTCACGCCTATTGAAGCCCCTCGTGCTCTGAGATGCCTGAAAAGACAGCGAGCCTGTGTCTGCCCTCAGAGAAAGATCCTCAATGACAAACCCAAACACAAGGTACTAACAGGAGAGATTTAACACCTACGGGCACACTTGGACTTACAAGGTGTTAACGAGCAAGATAAACCAATAAATGCATTTTCCCCCTCCTCTGCGGCCTGGGTTTGCTGTGGGTGCAGAATAATTGAAACCTCTCGCGGTGGAACGATGAATCAGGAGGGTTTCCTGTAGAAGAATGATGTCATCTTAGAAGATGGGAAGCTCTCCGTGAAATGCAAGCACATTCTGGGCAACATGTCTGCAGCAAGCAGGACCCTGAATTTATCGCAGAGGGGAGGGTGTGAGTTGGCCAAAATGGAGAATGATGAGAAGTAACTAAATTATGTATGGCAGTCCTTACAGAGCAGACGAAGGAAGAAAGCTTAATGGTGTTGTGGTTGAAGGACCAGCGGCAACGGGTGATGTAGAGGCTGGAGGTTGGGAAGAAGAGAAATGATCTAGGAAGACGCAGACACTCATGACTGTGACGAACACCAAGCAGTGGATGTGGGGGTGGTGGAGGGGAGACGGGCGCTGGGCATATCATACATTTCCGTGACAACAAGACAGCTACATAAAGTTAACGTGACATTAAAAATCATCATCTTAATCTGTGTAGCACTTTCAAGCCTGAGTCTTATCAAGGAAAAAAAAAATCTACAGTTAACGATGAAGTATTTTCCCCCTTCGCCTTCCCGGCATCCACCAAATGCAGTGCATAATTTAATTATGGAACCTACCCGCTGGACCCTGGAGAGGAAGAAGGATGTGTCTGCGGTGGTGAGAAATGAGACAGGACCAACTGTTTATTCTCATCACTCTTCCTCCGTTCGGCTAAATTAATATAGTTAACAAGCTTTTGTTTGGATTAGTGGCTCAGATCTGGGATGTGCGATCAGAGCCGTGACCGTTAGAGTCGCTATTATTTATGGAGCGCCGGCGGTCTCCTCCAGCCCCCCGCGCCCCAAATGGGGAGGGGCTCCCTGTCAGGTTCCTTGCTGGAACCGATGCTCCCATCAGACTTAGGAGCTCAACGTGGGCATAGAAGAATGCGGTAGGGGTAGGAGAAATCAGGTTTAGATCCCTGGGGCGTAGGATTTCAGAAATATCACGGGAGGCCTTTCCCTTTGACCCGTGCCACGCTTTTCTGATCTTTTAAACAATTGTAATAACATAAGCACAATTTCATAGTCAGCACACGTTAGCAGAGGAATACCACGAGGGGCGTGTGGACAGCGGCGGGGTTGCGCAGGGGGCGCAGGCTTTGGCACACATCTCAAGCTCTCAAGCTCGTCCACAATATTTGAGTAGAGCTGTGGTTCTCAACCTTGGCTGCACATTAGAATCACCTGGGAATCTTTTGAAAATCCTGATTTCTGGGCCTCATCCTCCAGAAATTCTGTTCCTTTGTTACTAATGTTGTGCCCCCACCCCATAACCAAGAAACAGAATTTCTGGAGGATGAGGCCCAGAAATCAGGATTTTCAAAAGATTCCCAGGTGATTCTAATGTGCAGCCAAGGTTGAGAACCACTGGAGTAGAAGCAGTAAACTGGCCACGCAGAGCACAAATGCAGAAGTAGCTTTGAGGCATTTGCACCTGGAGGCGTTGGTCCGCCCCCTATCGCGACAAGCCCGCCCCGTGTAAAACTGAAGCCGCGCGGGTCAGTATTCCCACGTGGACAGAGGCACAGCGCGGGCCCACGGGGGGGGGGGTGCGGGGGGGGGGGAGGTGACCAGGCCTCCGCACTTCCTGCGCCTTGCGTTTCACTGCACTAGCCTTTTGCATGTCTTTTATTCACCTATTACATATAATTACAGCGAGAGTTTAAGTAGGTGACGGTAGGTTCAGGTGTGTGTGGGGGGGGGGAGGGGGGGACGGACCTCACCATCATCAACAACGACAACAACCCCGGCCTCAGATTCCGAGATCTGAGAAATGCCCGGACTCAGGCCAGATCCTTGGGGAGGCCGCGAGCAGTGCCTCCCGGGTCCCGAACGCGGCGGAGGCTCGGGGATCCGGGACTCGGGGAGGCGGGGCGCCGCGTGTGTCCCCGCCCAGGGGCCCCGCCGCCACCAGCGCAAAGTCAGGGGCAAACCCGAGAGGGGGTGGTCTCGGGTTCCCCACCCCTAGCCCCACCGCGGGCTGAACGAGGTACCCGCGCGTCCGGGACCCGGAAGCGGAGGGGACCCCCAACACCCCCGGGCGCGCGCCGGCCCGGCCCCCTCTCCAGGGCGCGCGGCTGCCCGGCCGCCACCTTCCGGCCACGCGGCGGCCCCGCCTCCTCTCCCACTTCCTTCCCGGCGGGAGCGGCGGGGCGAGCCGGCCCGAGGTCGCCGATCTGGGCGGAGGGACCCGGCCGGCCCGGCGGGTACGCGGCCCGCGCGCCATGTGGCGCGGCCGGAGCGCGGGGTGCGGGGCGCGGGCTCGCGGCCGGGCGGGGGGCGGGGAGCCCGAGGCCGCCCCCCTTCCCGGGCTCAGCCGCTCGGCGGCCTCCGGGAGCCTTTCTCCCTCGGGGAGCCCGGAGAGGGAGGCGCATGCGGGACTGAAAGTGGCCGGCACGGCTGCGGCCGCGGGCGCGGTGGGAACGCGTGGTTCGTCCCGGATCGGAATCGAGGGGGTGGGAGGGGCTTGCGATCTGTCCCGCGGGTGCCTGGGGGTACCTCGCTGGACTAGTTGTCCCTCCCCTGTTTCTGCAGCTGGGTGTGGGGCACCCCTGAGCGTTAAACCAGACTCTGGGAAGGCGCCCCGAGAAGATAAGTTCACTTCTTGCCGCCCCCCCCCGCCGCTTCCCTGCCGCCTTGTGGTTGCAGGCGCTTCCCTGGCACCCTGCAGCAGTTAGGGTGCCAGCCCTTGAGCCGGGTGCTAAACCAGGCCTATCCGGCCTGCTTGCTGTTGAGAGAGTTCACAGGACTCTCTCATGATCGCTGGGTGACCTTGGTTCCCAGACCGACCTGTTGCATCTCAGTTCCGGCTGCCTTCCTTTAGCCCGGCTGTCTAGGCTTTCTGGAGACTTCTCAGTGACACCCTCCCAGTCCTCGTGCTGACCTCCCTCCTCGTCCCTGAAAGGACCCTCTCCCCTCTCTGCTGGAAGCGTTGGGTCCCTTGGGGGGTTCTCCCTGCTGTGTTGGTGGTGCCTGCTTGCGGTCAAGCGCACGCCCCTAACTAAAACCTGGACTTAGTGAAGCAGGTGGCGCTTGTCAGAGCGGCTCTTCCTTTGGTTCAGTCCGCACCTCAGACTTGATAACTCTGTCCCACCTGGGGAATCTGAGGGGAAGGGAAGGGACGTAGGATCTGGTTAAGGTCAGAGGTGGGACGGTGCCAAGTGGAATCGGACGGGCATGGGTAATAATCCTGCGTGACTTAGGGCGAGTTACCCAAGTTCTCGCGGTCTCTAGGACGGTGGTACTGTCTGCCTTAGTTAGGAAGGCAGCTTGAGTGAGGTGATGTATAGCCTTTAACCATATCTGAAATGTATTAGGTGGTCAATAAATGTTCTCTTCCCACCCCTCCCTCTTGCCCTGGCCCCATCTTAGAGCAGAGGGTGGTGCGGGATGAGAACTATTTGTAGGGCAGGCATCGGTATTGACTTTTAAAAGCCTGTGACAACGCAGTACATAGGTGAACTATGTGGGAATGTGAAGCTCTGTGTGCCAAATTCAAACTTCTGAAATAGTAACTTAATATTCTTGAGACCAGAGACGGTCTGGGGTGGGGGGGGGGGGGAGGGCGTCCACGTCCTGTGATATCTGACTGGTACACGCACCGGAAGTTGTCCAAGTCCTGCCGTGGGCAGTCTGAATGGGGTTGGGGTGGGGTGGACCGGAGAGCGGATTGAGCCAAATGCTTTTCTCTGCTGATGTTTGTTGTGTGTTTCCTTCTAGACCCAGCATGAGCGAAGTCCCCTGCAAGAAACGTGAGGACTATCTGGAATGGCCCGAGTATTTCATGGCCGTGGCCTTCCTGTCGGCACAGAGGAGCAAAGATCCCAATTCCCAGGTAAGTGACTTTCGCAGGAGGACTATTGGGCCCTCACTGACGCAGAGATGCCTGCCAGTGAGCACGTTGCAAAGGCCGTTCACGGGGCAGAGTGAAGCTGCTGCCCTTTGTGCTGCACCCCTATGCGTCCGTCTTCCTGTGGGAGAGATTGTGGGTGCCTCTCCACCCCCTCTGGGGCCAGGGGCGCTCTTTCTTTGGCTCGTGGGAACCGCCACGGAACAGAAGCGAGGACGCAGAGCTCCTAGCACCCCCAGAAGCTGCGTGCCCTCTTGGAGCTCTGCGGGCCTCTGGTTCCATTGACAGCCTCGAGCGGGGCAGACTGTCCAGGCAGTCACCAGGCCTTCGGGCATGTTTCGCTGCAGGTGGGAGCCTGTATCGTCAACGCAGAAAACAAGATCGTGGGCATCGGGTACAACGGGATGCCCAACGGGTGCAGCGACGACCTGCTGCCTTGGAGGAGGACAGCGGAGCGGAAGCTGGACACCAAGTACCCTTACGGTAGGCGAGCCTGGCATCCCGTCCTGCTTCGGTCAGAGAGTGTCTTTCCCCTTCTCAGTCAGCAGCAGCTGGAAAGAAAGAAAGAAAAAATCCCTATTGAATGACCCCAATTTCCTGTCCCGGTCTCTTAAGTTCCAAAGAGAACCAGTGAATGGAAGGGAGCCTGGTGGTGGCACACAGCCTGGCCCTGAGGGCCGGGGCTCTGTGGCCTGCGTGGGCCGGGTGTGTTTCCATGGAGAACCGCTGGCTGTACCCGCCAGGGCATTGGTGGTGGCTTCTGTACCGAGGGCCGCCGCCCTGGGGAGGACTGTGCACCCCGGGGAGGACTGTGCACCCCGGGGAGGATTGTGCACCCCGGGGAGGACTGTGCGTGACAGCCCTGCAGGTTGGAAGCAGAGCCAGCTCCGCAGGCATGGCCGGGGTTGGCGCTGGGGAGAAGCAGGGCCTGGGGAGGAGGAAGATGCTGTGGCCTCCTGCCTTCCTGGGGGCTCCGCAGTCCCAGGGAGGCTGTGGTCAGAGCACAAGCCAGATGGGTGGGACTGGGCCCCTTGGGCCTGGCCGTCTGTTTTGCGTGTTTAAATTAGGGGAGGGTCCCTCGGTCTCTTATACTGTGTTGCCTACCTGAGCCCCAGGGAGAATCACTTCAGAGAGTGTCTGGGAGGGACAGGCTACAGCTTCACTTTTCCCTTAATTCCTTGGAGATTTGGTAACTAAGGCGTAAATGAGGCAAAGTGGGCTGCAGGTGCTTCGTGTCAAGTCTTTATAATGTCAGGACCTGTGCTGTGTCTGAATGAACAGGCTGGCCCTGGTGGAAGACGGGGGACTAAGGCCACCCCTCAGGGAAAGCGTGCGCCTCGGGAAGCAGTCCCGGGTGTGATGGGAGGCCTTTCGCTGTGGGCTCTTCCCTGCAGCTTTCCTGTGGGTTTTTCTCCTGCAGAATCCCAGGTCTGCAGTTAGCCTAGCTTATGCACTTTACCAATGTTCTCGGGCCTCAATCATGTGAAATAAACCCCATCGATTTCTTTTCAAATTGCTTCAGGCAGCTGCTATGTTTTGGAAAGAAAAAAAAAGATGCCCAGAGGTGGGAGAGGACGTGAGGAATGCCGGCAGGGAGAACAACCAAGCGCTCAGGGTTTCCAGGGAATAGAGCATGGTTTAGTGAATACGGGCGTTTCATAGTCAGACTAGAGGCCAGATGCATGAAATTCGTGCAAGGGGCTCTGTCCTTGCAGCCCCAGCTTTGTCCGGAAGGTCGTCCGGAAGGTCGTTTGGCTGTCCCGTCGAATTAGCTTTTATTGTTATAGATGAGCCTTCGTAGGAGCAGGAATAGTGGGGCCCCACTAGTCGGGAGAATGTGAGGCTGTTGGCTCAGCCGGCGCTTCCGGGCTGCATGGAGTGTGTGAACTGGAAAAGGTGCTAATGTAGTGCCGAAACGTTTGGTCACCCTGCTTTGATCGTAAGCTTTCGATGGTAGGAAAGAAGGGAAGGGCTCCGTCGTGCGTAGGTGCATGCAGAGGTTCACGGCACAGTTCAGTGTCCGTGTAAAATCGCAGAATGAAAGGGTCCATGCGTCCAGTCAGCAGCGACACTGGACTGTCGGACCACGGTCGTTCCTTCACAGAATCCAGACGGAGAGGTGGGTCCTCGTGCTGACCTCCGGCACCGAGGGGTCCCTGTTGGTTCCTGAGGGGCCCACCAAGGGGACCCGTGCCGTCCTGTCCCTGTTGGCCCCGGGCAGATGGGTGGCAGGAACCCAGAAGCCAGAGGCCTGCAGCTCCTTTGCAATCCCCCGCTTCCCAGTGAGCTGGGGTCTCGAGTAGCTGGTTTTGTTTGTCAGAGACACTGCCTTTTGACCAAGTTGGAGAGAGGACCTTTCAAAGCTCCTTTCCAGGAGGAATTAAAAAAACCCACCCACACAGGCATTGGGCCAGCCTCACGGATTGCTGTTTTGCATAGTGGCTGAGTTTCTGGGCCCTGGCTGGCTGGCTGGCTGCAGTATTTCTTTACTATCCATACGATACCTCTAGGTTTTCAAAGCTCTTTGCCCTCACTTATCAATTTTTCATTTTACACACAGCTGTCCTACAATGTAGACAGTTTTCTTCCACGAGAGTACGCTTGTCATTTGATGTACCGTAAAAGTTATAGAAGGTATTAAATGGCTTTTAAAAGGCATTTAGCATTACTACGGTCATGAAATACACAAAGACGGGCTCTCCGTCTAGATAACGATGACTGGCTGTAAACAGTCTTGTCTTTTCCAGGAATTTCTGTCCGCAGAGTGAAAAATGTTTAGAGCCCCGCCAGTGTGGCTCAGTGGTTGCGCGTTGACCTATGAACCAGGAGGTCACTTCCTGGTTGGGGCACATGCCCGGGTTGCAGACTCGATCCTCAGTGTGAGGTGTGAGAATTATCCCCAACCAATAATTCTCATCATCGATGTTTCTATCTCTCCCTCTCCCTTCCTCTCTGAAATCATACTTAATAAATATATATTTGGAAAATATAAAAATATATTAAAAACATGTTTAGATAGCCTAGGGTAGAATAGAAATGTTTTGGTGATAATGGACTAAAATGCAAATTCTTTTTACTTCTGTTTTAAGACTTCAAACATTCACTTATTAAAAGAATCGCTGGTGTCTGGACTTGGGGAGACTCACGCTGTCTTTCCTCCCTGACGTCATGGTGGCTGCGCTGCTCTGTCAGGGTCGGAGATGATGCGTAAATCCCCATAAAGGACTTTAGAGATTATCCGAGCTCTAGGCCGGTGACTCCTAAGTCTTGACTATCTGGGGTCCCTGTCAAACAACTTTGAGGCCCCCCACTAAGCAAGGCCGCCTTACCTTCCTCCTGGGAGCCATTGTTCAAGCTCCCATCGGTAACAGGGCTCCCCGGGCTCATCAGGCTCCTATGCCTGGGTTTGCACACCTGTTGGGGGAGGGGGGTTGTGGGTAAACGTGCCTCTGCCTGGCCTTCTCTTCCGTCCGGGCACTCAAGAAGCCAGGGTGGCTTTGCCGGTGCCATCACACTGCTTCCTCGAGGCAGGGACCCGAGCCCCGATGTCCCAAGGGTGGGCGGTCGCCACACTAGAGATGCATCGGGCAGATGTGGCGACGGGGCTGTTTCCAGCGTCAGTCCGTATTTCTGCAGGAATGCTCTAGAAGGCCACCGCGCTGGGGAGGAAAACGCTGGGTTCATCGAGGCGAGAATGCCCCACGGCAACCCTGAACCGTTCTGCCAGTGTGTGGCAGCGTGCCTGTACATTTTATATTTAAATTTCATCTTTCTTTTCTCAGATTTAGCATATTGCTAAGCATGCACAGATGCCATTTTAGTGATTACGTAGCCATTTGCCTTACCCGCCCGAACACGGGCATTTTCCTCCCTGCCATGCGTGTGAGGTATTTCTTTGGCCTCCAAAAGGTTCGTCTTGAGAAACTAATTTATCAAGAAGTTGATCCTTGCTAAGCTGCGACTTCGTCAGGACTTGTAAGGGCTTCCTGGTAATTAAGATCAAATCTGTTCCTGCCGCCGGTTGGAGTCAGATGCCCTCTGGTTTTGTGAGGCAGGTCCCTGGATTGGATGACTGGCTGTTTCTGTTCCTGCAGAATTCTAATTTCACTTACAGCTTCCCACCACCCCTCCCCTGCCTGGCCAGCTAGTGCTTGCAGCCCGACGGTGGGTTTCATTAAGGATTTTGTACAAAATAATCAGTGGAAAACCTTCAAGCAAGTTTACAGAGAAAAAATGAAGTAGATGATTTTTATGAATCAGGAAGCAAACTCGGGTTTCACTGTGCGATGTTTTCGATAGACAGGGAAACTGATGGCTTATGTATGAGGCTCCTCCCCCCACCCCCCCCAAACATATATTAACCAGCTTGACATAAGCATATTCCACTTTCAGGTATAATTGTTTGGCAACAGTTCTTCAGAAAAGAATAAGTAATGACTTTTTTTGTTAATTTATTTGATTTTCATCTATATATTTTAATCTGTGGACTCAGGGTTAATTTTTGAGGCGCTAGAGATTCCTCTTTTACTCTGAACGTCTACAAGGGACCTACACTGACAGCTCCCTGTTGGGGAGGGCAGGAGCCGGAAAAGCTGAGATGCTGGTCCGTGGGATCGAACCCACTTGAGAAACGACACGTATTTCTCTTTGTTTTGTAAAGAGTCACTTTACCTCGTGGAGGTTTGTATTCTGTTCGTTCGTCTCTGGTCCTTACGCTGTTGACTGATCTTCTGGCCTGAATGACTAGTCTTATTTTACTTTGCATTTTTTCCCCCCTCAAGAATCCTTCCTTCGTAAGCTTTGCTGACGCTGGAATGAAAGTGGAATGTGTAATCTTGCTTGCTCCCCGAAGTGGGCACTCCAGCCTGGTTCCTGGAGGTTTTCGCAGGTGTTTGTATTGGTTTTACTTTTACCGCTGAGGACGTGGGTTTCCTGTTTGGAGGGGGGGGTGTGTCTTTAATATGCACAGCTGCCGGTTACCAGGCGGTGGTCAGATTCCCGGGAAGGAATGCCAACCGGCCCCGGGCCCCGGGTCTGGGTGTGGGGTGCTTGTGCCCAGCGACCGTGGGCTTGTTAGATCCATGACTGACGTTTGCTTCTCAATGTCTTCATGAAAGAAATGATCCTTGAGGACTCCTCCAGTTCTAGAGTTCTAAGGAAAAATTAAACAATGTAGCTTTGGTGCCCTTAGACTAACTACGGTGCTCTTCCCCTTCCCGGGGCTTTGCGGGGAGTTCTAAAGCATCCTGGGTGAAGGTTCACCCCCCCTCCCCCAGCTCCCCCCCAGCAAAGCAGCGGGTGGGGGGGACAGAGGATGTGCCTCTGCGTGTGGATGAGTGACTAGAACCAGCCTCTATTCTCCTCGGAGGTGCAGCCCTGCTCCTGTTCTAAGGTGAGTGTAACCCAGACAGAGACGGCACACGCAGGAGGGCCTGAGGCGAGCGAGGCCCCCCACAGACACGGGCATCAGAAGACCGGGATGA